CGCCGCGATCCCGGCCGCGCGGATCCGCTCCAAAAGGTATGTCGCTTAGTGTGAATGGGGCCTTTAAGGTAGTTACCAAAAAATCTGCCCTTGTAGTGATGTGACTGGTAAAGGCAGAAATCAGGCTTGCGACGGCTGGCCAGTATGATTGACAGGATGGGGACATATTTAGGTGGACTTACAGAAGAAAGGCAACTGGGGTGAGCTTTGCCAATGTGGTTGTGTTCACTTGCAGTGCGAGCAGTAGTCAACTACAGAGCAGGCAGTAGGCAGGGCGGCGGTGTGTAGGCAGGGCGGCGGTGTGAAGTCTCTAGAACTCCAGACAACAAGTGCAGCCGCATGTATAACTCAGTGACAGGATGCGATTACACGCCAATCCAAACTTTCACATCTGTACAGGTACGGAAGCATGCCCCTGGGCGCAGATGTCTGCGTCCAAGGGCATGCATCCCTACCTGAACAGATGTGGGAGTTCAGATTGGCGTGTAATCGCATGCAGCTGTGTCCTGTCATGGAGTTGTACAGGCAACTACACGCAGCCTTCATCCCTTACCGGGCGCGGGTTTGTGCACGCCGTACGCCTGTGCACGTCCGTGTGTCCGTCCTCACTCTGTATAGCGGTTCAGTAAGAATAATCTTTGTACATGTTGCAGGTTTCAGGAGGAGCTGCAGGCGACTATTTCCGCGCGGCCTCAGAAATCCTTGAAGCAGGAAGAGCTGGTGAAGCTCATGGAGTGGAAGCTGCTGGTGAGCCATCAACGTTACATGGTTGCCTTGTGTATGTGGCTGTTTCTGCTCTTGACCGTCTGGTAGGTGTGTGATAGCATTGGACCGATGTGAGCAGATGTTCCTTCATAACTATGTTCTCCTAGTCGGAGCTTAGTTTATGGTTAGAGGTATGGACCTGGTGCTGGGATGATAGTCCAGTCAGTCAACAGATGAACAGCTTCTGGGTATGTGGCGAGGAGTGCCTGGTACAAACCGTCATCTCGCAATTCGTTTCAATCCTTTATTTGTTAGGAATAACAGGTACAGCCAATGCGTTTCAGGGGAAAGAACTCCCCCTTCTTCGGGGCTTGGACCATGATTGGTGAAGAACGGGGATAGTTTTGTCCTCCCTCTTCCCCATAACATGTTGGCTGTTTCGGCTTGGACAATGGTTGGTGATTCAATTAGGATGAAATGATATTGAGAGTCTAAAATTAAAGGGGAACTCCATGATTTTGAGAAGTTAACCCTTGCAATGGGGCTACCCCAATCCCCCCCATCCCCACTGCAAGGGTTAACTGCTAGTTTTGTGTAGGGATGGGAAAATACTCACCTGATCCTCGGTCCCGCTTGGCTGCTAAACCGATCCCTGCACCCTCCTCCCCTCTGGGTCCTGGCGGTCTAAGGCTCCATGATGTCATCAGGTCTAATATAGGTCGATTTAGATGTGAGGATGCTGAGGAACATACCAAAACCAGAGCGGAGGGGAACAGAGGTGAGCAATCACTGCCGCAGGACCGAGGATGCCGTTTGGACATTGTAGCTTTGAGCCAGACTTAATTTTAGGCTCTGTATATCATTCCATCCTGATTGCATCACCAAACCTTGTCCTAGCCCTGAAGAAGCGGGAGTCCTTTCCCTGTGAAAAGTGTTGGCTGTATCTCTTGTTCCTAACAAGTAAAGATTTTAAACAAATTTGCGTATCGGCTGCTCTCCAGCTTCATCAATCACACAGAAGCTACCGTCGCTGGAACATCGCCCTGAAAGCCGCGCTATCCCGGCCGCGCGGATCCGCTCCAAAAGGTATGTCGCTTAGTGTGAATGGGGCCTTTAAGGTAGTTACCAAAAAATCTGCCCTTGTAGTGATGTGACTGGTAAAGGCAGAAATCAGGCTTGCGACGGCTGGCCAGTATGATTGACAGGATGGGGACATATTTAGGTGGACTTACAGAAGAAAGGCAACTGGGGTGAGCTTTGCCAATGTGGTTGTGTTCACTTGCAGTGCGAGCAGTAGTCAACTACAGAGCAGGCAGTAGGCAGGGCGGCGGTGTGTAGGCAGGGCGGCGGTGTGAAGTCTCTAGAACTCCAGACAACAAGTGCAGCCGCATGTATAACTCAGTGACAGGATGCGATTACACGCCAATCCAAACTTTCACATCTGTACAGGTACGGAAGCATGCCCCTGGGCGCAGATGTCTGCGTCCAAGGGCATGCATCCCTACCTGAACAGATGTGGGAGTTCAGATTGGCGTGTAATCGCATGCAGCTGTGTCCTGTCATGGAGTTGTACAGGCAACTACACGCAGCCTTCATCCCTTACCGGGCGCGGGTTTGTGCACGCCGTACGCCTGTGCACGTCCGTGTGTCCGTCCTCACTCTGTATAGCGGTTCAGTAAGAATAATCTTTGTACATGTTGCAGGTTTCAGGAGGAGCTGCAGGCGACTATTTCCGCGCGGCCTCAGAAATCCTTGAAGCAGGAAGAGCTGGTGAAGCTCATGGAGTGGAAGCTGCTGGTGAGCCATCAACGTTACATGGTTGCCTTGTGTATGTGGCTGTTTCTGCTCTTGACCGTCTGGTAGGTGTGTGATAGCATTGGACCGATGTGAGCAGATGTTCCTTCATAACTATGTTCTCCTAGTCGGAGCTTAGTTTATGGTTAGAGGTATGGACCTGGTGCTGGGATGATAGTCCAGTCAGTCAACAGATGAACAGCTTCTGGGTATGTGGCGAGGAGTGCCTGGTACAAACCGTCATCTCGCAATTCGTTTCAATCCTTTATTTGTTAGGAATAACAGGTACAGCCAATGCGTTTCAGGGGAAAGAACTCCCCCTTCTTCGGGGCTTGGACCATGATTGGTGAAGAACGGGGATAGTTTTGTCCTCCCTCTTCCCCATAACATGTTGGCTGTTTCGGCTTGGACAATGGTTGGTGATTCAATTAGGATGAAATGATATTGAGAGTCTAAAATTAAAGGGGAACTCCATGATTTTGAGAAGTTAACCCTTGCAATGGGGCTACCCCAATCCCCCCCATCCCCACTGCAAGGGTTAACTGCTAGTTTTGTGTAGGGATGGGAAAATACTCACCTGATCCTCGGTCCCGCTTGGCTGCTAAACCGATCCCTGCACCCTCCTCCCCTCTGGGTCCTGGCGGTCTAAGGCTCCATGATGTCATCAGGTCTAATATAGGTCGATTTAGATGTGAGGATGCTGAGGAACATACCAAAACCAGAGCGGAGGGGAACAGAGGTGAGCAATCACTGCCGCAGGACCGAGGATGCCGTTTGGACATTGTAGCTTTGAGCCAGACTTAATTTTAGGCTCTGTATATCATTCCATCCTGATTGCATCACCAAACCTTGTCCTAGCCCTGAAGAAGCGGGAGTCCTTTCCCTGTGAAAAGTGTTGGCTGTATCTCTTGTTCCTAACAAGTAAAGATTTTAAACAAATTTGCGTATCGGCTGCTCTCCAGCTTCATCAATCACACAGAATTATCAGTAGGATTTATTTAAAGGGACACCCCGCATTATAGGCAAACTTCTATTGCGCAATTCTTGTTTAGTGGTCCTTTTAGTGGAGTCAGCTGATGGCTTGTTTGTTTTTGATTGGACAGAGGGGAAAGTTCCGCCCTCGTTTACAGCAGATGGCGGCATCCAACCCGGAGAGCACAGTAGAAAGCTGCACCAGGAAGGCTTTCCAGCGTCTTCCCGATGTCTCTGCTGCTATAGAAGAACTGTGCACACTAAAAGGCATTGGGCCTGCCACGGCCTCCGGTGAGTGAGTGAAGGTAAAAAAAAATGGCCTGGCCGCAGAGTCATAATGTCCGCCATGCTCAAATTGCCGGGACCTTGGACCCCTACCATTCAAAACGACTACAAAGGAAGAGTGCACAAACAGAGCTTACACTCCATCACCTCTAATGCAGCGCTGTACAATAGGCCTGTGCAAAGGTTTTACTCCAATTGTGGCCTCGTCAGCAGCTTATAGTTACCTTTCCTATCCCTCAATTCTGATTGGTGTGTGATAGCGTTGGACCGATGTGTGTAGGGGATAATAAAATGCATAGAAGTTGAAATGCGTTTTTCCAGCCAGAGCTCAGTTTCTGATCGGGGTAGCAGCAATCTCCCTTCTTCTGGGCTAGCATACAAAGAACAATAACAATCAAATGTATAATTATTATTATTATAAAGTATTTATAGATCGCCAACAGTTTGCGCAGCGCTTTACAGTATAAGGAAGACATTACAATCACAATACAATTCACGGCAAGATGGTGAGGGCTTACAATCTAAAAGGGAGGGGCCAGTCATACATGAGGAGGTAACTGTGTGGGGATGAATTGTATGAGAACGTGATGGTTGAGTGGTTAGTTTGAGGTGGGATAGGCTTCCCTGAAGAGATGAGTCTTTAGGCTGGGTTCGCACCTGGGCGTACGAAATATGCGCGTTTGCCACGCGTTTTTACCGCAATTTGCGGTAAAAGAAACACGTGACGAACGCTCGTTTCCGAGGGCTATCAGGCTGTATCCCAATGGATACGCGCGACAAATACGCCCCAAAGAAGCTCCAGCACTTCTTTGGGCGTAGGGCGTTTTACAGCGCTTTCCTACGCGCTGTAAAATGCCCAGGTGGGAACCATGCCCATAGGAAATCATTGGTTTTCACATGTTGAGCGTTTTACAGCGCGTAGGAACGCGCTGTAAAATGCCCAGGTGTGAACCAGGCCTTAGTGATCGATGAAAGGCAGTCAGAGTGGGAGATAGACAGGTTGGGTTAAAGAGTTCCAGAGAATGGGAGAGACTCTAGAGAAGTCCTGGAGGCGAGCATGGAAGGAGGTGACGAGGGAGCTAGAGAGCAGGATGTTTTGGGAGGGGACGGCTGGGGTGATACTTTGAATGAAGATACACCAATCAGCTTTAACTTTATGACCACCCGCCTAATATTGAGTAGGTCCCCCTTTTCCTGACCCGTCAAGGAATGGCCTCCACTAGACCTCTGAAGGTATGCTGTGGTATCTGACACCAAACCATCAGTAGCAGATCCTTTAGGTCTCCTTCACACCTTGGCGTATTGCATATGCGCGTCTGTCGCGCGTTTTTTTACCGCGATTCGCGGTAAAAAAGTTGCGCGTTTCCGAAGGCTACTTGGCTGTATCCCAATGGAAACGCGCAACAAAACGGCCCAAAGTAGTACATGTACCTTTTCAGGCGTGGGCCGTTTTGTAGCGCGTTAGGGACGGGCGGAAATACGCCAAGGTGGGAACGAGACCATTGAATACAATGGGATTCATATTTTTGAGCGTTTTGTAGAGCGTTCGTCGAGCGTAGAACGCGCTACAAAACGTTCAGGTGTGAACGAGGGTTAAAGTTGTGAGGTGCGGCCTCCATGGATCGGACTTGTTCTTCCAGCACATCCCACAGATGGATTGAGACAGCATCTCTTTTGTGTTTTCCTGTGCAGCTGTCCTGTGTGCTGGGGCCCCGGAATCTGCGGCGTTCATGGCAGACGAAGCTGTGGAGAGTGTGCCCGGTCTGGTACCCGTCCAGTACAACCTGAAACATTACCTGAAATTCCTGGAGGAGATGCGCAAGAAGGCCCAGACATTGAACGCAGGTGATGAAGCAATGAAAGATGTCTTCTGCTGACACCTGCACGAGTCTCTGAATATGCCCGGCTACATTTTTAAAGACATACTGAGACGCTGTCACATTAAGGCGCCTTTCCCCTCACTTCCTGTTCCTGTTGACACCAGAACAGGAAATGGGGGAGGCCGTTGTAACTTGGGATACCAACTAAAACATTCTCATAGGTTGTATCATTTTCCCCAGTGTAACATTGTATTCTCATTTTTATCTATGTTTCCATTGGAGAGATTTCCCATCCGTTCCTGTACAAACAGGAAGTGAGAAAATCTCCCCAGCGTGGACACAGATGGCACTAAAAAAACCTGACAGGCTCTCTATCCCTTGCCCATTCTATATAAAACAAAATAAAAAACGTATCTGGTCGCCGGCTTTAAAGATAAACTGAGAGGATGTTCGGGTGCTTGTAAAAGATGAATTGATTTGTATCCAGCTGGTAATGGATCAGACAAATCTGATGTGTTCTCTGACCTGAAACTCTGAGATGTAAGTCACAATGTACTGGCAAACCGATGGCCACCAGATGTCAGCACAGGTTGGGGAATCTAAACCCAAAACCCAGAAATGTCATATATTGAAGCTTATCAGACCTTAGATGTGTTGGCTGCATTAGTTTTCTTTTATCAGACTTTTTTCCTGGTGATCCTGCCAGCAACACCCCCTTTGCTACGGTGACAACACTCACTCACTGTATTGTTTCTATGGAGGGTGGCACTGGAGGGCTACCCCTGCGCTGCAAGAGCTAAGCTCATTTTTGTCTAGGTGCTAAAACAAAAATTGCACTCACCTGAACCACGGGGCCGCACAGCCGGCTGCTACTCTGGTCCCTGAAGCCTCTACCCCCCCCCCCCCCTCTGCTGCAGCGATGGTATGTCCTTGAGCGTCCTCGTGTTTTATACGCTGTGTATAGAACACGATGACTCAAGAATCTTTAGACCACTGCAGCACAGGGGGAGAGAGGCTGTTTGTTTTTTTTAGCACCTAGACAAAAACAAGCACTTCACCCTTGCGGTGCGGGGGTAGCCCCACTGCCAGGGTTCAGAACAATTTTAATTTTTTTTTACTTACCGTTATTGCTAGGGGGGCTGTGACAGGTCCCCTCTATGGAGACATCAGGGGTCTATTGGACCCCTAATGTCACCTGGGGACCCTAAAAGAAGCTGATGAATATATAGCCGCTAGATCACTTGAATGTAAAGAGCCATCGCCGGCTGTTTAAAATGGTACCAAGATCACGGCTGCTGGCATAACCGTTTCAGGATACCACCATTTGTTTACGTACAGTGATCCTGAAGCAGTTAAACACTGGTTGAAAACCAAAAAAAATCTAAACATTTTTGTCTATAGATCCCATAGAAACAATACTGACAAAAAAAGTGAGTTTTTCCCCCAAAAAAACAATGTGTTACTTGTTCTTAGTTAAAGTGACATTGAAGGCAATTTTTTTTCCCTCCCCCCAATGTTAGTGTAGAGACTTACCTTAAATGATGCCTCCTAATCCGATCATCTTCTCCTTTCCTGTAGTTTTCAGCTGCCCCTCCAGCGCTGATGCCGGTCTCCGATCCAGCGCTGACTCCTCTGTCCTTTTCTCTCATGTCCCACGGTGTCTGTGCGGGTGCACGCTGCTCCATAGACTTACCTTGTGTCTTTCCTCTTCTCCCGGCCGAACATCTGAACTGCGCATGCACCCGCCCCAAGATCCTTATGCGGCGGCCCGAGACTCTTCAGATGTTCCGACGGGAGCGCGCGGGGAAGACACAGGTAAGTATAAATCCTTTTTAAAAGGTTTTTTTTTGTAATGTTTTTGCATTTATTTCCTGCTTGCTACCAGTAGATATATGCAAAAACCGCTGAGGGTTACATAACCCTTTAATTACAAAGTTATCACCAAATAAACAGGCCCACAGTGGAAATTTAAAATTGCTCGTGTCCATAAGAGGTGTCACGGCAGAGCTGTGGTTGATAACCAAAATAATTTGAAGCGTGATCCTTTCATTATTTTTATTCATCACATTTTACAGCGTTTTATTAGTAGATCGTAAAGAGCTGCGCAAACGGTTGGCGCTATATAAATCCTGTATGATAATAATAATAGATCGACCAATCACAGCAGTCCCCGCCCTCCATCGTGCCTTTGTTCTGTTGACCCTTCTTGTAGACATTTGCCAGAAGTGGACAACCCTCTGAAAAGCGGAATTTGTCTCTTGCAGATTCGGAGGAGGAGAATTGGACCCCTCATCGCGTGGAGCTGTGCCTGTGGGCGTGGAAGGTCGGACAGAAGTCGTGCCCCAAACTCCTGGAGGCTCTGGAAGATTCAGACGAGAGACCGGCGAAAAAACTAAAGACAAAGCAGTGATTGAGATGGAGGGGCCACGTATTTTTTTTCAGTGTTTGCTTTCAGTCCCTGAAGTCACTGTTTTCTAGAAAACTTGTTGGCTGAGTTTTTCTTCAGCCATGAAATGGTCTGCCTCCGCACGCTGATTATTGGTACACTTAAAGAGACTTTGTCACTTTGCCTGCCCAGAGGAAAGTTGCAATGGCCACTTCATATTCACTTCACTAGCTCTCCCTCACTGCTTCATCCTCCTTTGCAGCCGGTGCTAAATACCTGATAGTTTTGAGTTTGGGGGAGCATGAGACCTCCTTCCATGAGGATGGGCCCCAGCAATGTTGCATGACAGAGGTGGTCATTCCACCTCTCATTGTAGTCTCCAACACCAGCCAACACAATAGCTGGTGTTGGAGGAAGGTGTAGCCGGGTAGTTCTGGAAAGGTATTAGTGGGAGGGGGAGTCAAGGCCTTTGCACACACATTGTCACTTTGCCCATTCAGATCACCTATAATCAGCAGTCGTGCCTGCCGCTCCCTTTCTAGCTGAGCATCCTAGGTTTCTAAGAGCTCATAGCAACCTGTGACTCTCTGGCCGGTATCCAGTCCATATCACTGACCTCACTGGTTGGCAGGAGCTGAGTGGGATGCCCTGGCTGGTGTCCTGCCCAGCTCCTGGCAAACATTGAGATGGGGGATAAATAGTTTTTTTGTTACACTCCTTACCGGAAAAGCCCCGATAG